GCAGTTACCCATTTGTCGGCGTCCCTGTGGCTAAGTTTTTGCGTGTAAGCTGGTATCTCCATAACTACTTAAGGGAATTGATTGAAACTTCACACACTTGTTCTCTGTGATTATATTATATGAATAACTCAAGGCCCATAACTCTGATTTGCTTTTTTGCATAATTATGCCCCTTTTTTTGACTTAAATTTTATTTTTAGGGAATGGTTAACAACTTCACACACTTGTTCTCTGTGATTATCTCATATGATTGGCACAAGGCCAATAACTCTGATTTGCGTCTTTGCATAATTATGCCCCTTTTTCGACTTAGAAATTTTTGGTAAAGTGTTTGCGTGTAAGCTGGTATCTCCATAACTAATGAAAGGAATGGTTTACAACTTCACACATTTGTTCTCTGTGATTATCTTACATGATTGGCATAAGTCTCATAACTATTGATTTGTTTTTTGTGTATAATTATGCCCCTTTTTCGGCTTAGAAATTCTGTATCTGGTATCTTAATAACTACTTAAGGGTTTGCGCCTTTTTTGAACAATTTTATGCATTCATAATAATAAAGCAGTGGTTAACTCGATAAAACATCTTAATAACAAATATTTTTACCTTTTCGAAACAAGTTTCGAATAGTCGAGCATTACTGTCCACTGACAGTTCTTGTTGAATACACTTTGGGTCTTAGACAGGATGAATACAATTTTTGTTTTCAATGTTTATAAATGACATCAACGATATGTATGTTAAAAATGGCTTGGAAAGTAGAAGTTAATATGTTTAAAACGTTTTTGATATTGTATGCAAATGATATTTCAAAAGTCAAAACAAAGGTAATAATGTTTAAAAACGATGGTCGTTTACAAGAAAATAATGTTTCTGTTACTATTACTATTATTCTCGTATAATGATGGCATAGTTGAAATTGATAAAACATTTTATTTTTTGGAATTGTTTTAACTACCGGTAGATCTTTGGTGGAAGCTCAAGATACTTAGCGGGACAAGCGCTTAAGACTATCTGCAAATAGAATAATTACTACAAATTCTCTGACATATCAGTTTAACATACAGTATAATTGTACAATAAACTCATTGTACATATTCTAAATAATGGAAGTGAAAAATAGGGGTGTTATCAAGGAAAATCAGTAGAACGTATTCATATGCATTTTTATAAACGTATATTGGGAGTAAGAAAGAGTAAACATAATAATTTTTGTCAAGCCCGCTTGTGGAGGGCTGGTAATAGTTGTCACAGTGGTGGTTTGGTGTAGGTATGTGCATCCGTGCGTCAGTCCGGATTATGTTTGTCCGGGTCGAAACTCTGTCATTATTAAGCAGATTAAAAATAGATTAGCACAAATGTTTACAATAATGAGACGTCGTGTCGTGAGCAAGAACTCTGTGGCTAGGTTAAAGGTCAAGGTAATACTTTTAGGTCAAATGGGAACGCAATAATTAAAAATTATGTTATCAAACTTATTAAGATGCTACAATCGCAGTTATTTACACAATGAATACAGAGTAAAATCCTGAATTTAATAATAATTATATGATTATACAAATTTGCCACTGTTCATTAATTCCATATATATTATTTCATCAATGGTACTACTCGTATTTATAACTTTATGTAATGTGTGTATGTTATGTATGTATGTAATATAACATAATTTTTGTTTGTCCTTTCAATGGAGAAGGAAGTGTAGATTTTTGTTTTGTCAAAGTTCGGCAATGTTTTGATATGTGAACATGATTTATACATACATTGTAGTTGTCTAAGAGAGGGAATATGTCAAGCGAAGAAAATATACTATCTATTTAGTGTTACTTTAACAATATAGACAACCATAAAATAAATGCGTGAGTTCGTGGACTTCGATAATTTGCAAACCCCTATTCTGGTCCATTCCATCGTTAACAGTAGTTTACGTCTTTCTTGAATGAATAAATTTAAATATTGCTTGAGATGTTCCCTGTTTTTGACGAACATGGTTTATAATCTTTAGTAAGGTAATTACAATAAACATAAATATTCCGCTCAACTTGGGTATGGATTACTTCCTGATTACATCGTATTGTATACAGAGTTGGACGCTTTTTAAAATAACCTCTTTTGAATTATGTTTTACTCTACCGACAACTACTTTCTAATTGAAATTGTGAATAACATTTTAATGCTAAACAGTCTTTAATCCACTTTTTTGTTGATTGTATTGACGTAATGTTCATGTTTTTTTGTTCTAAAGTTTTGCGTAAGTGCCTATATATTTCATTAAAATGACTGTCATAATGGTGATTGACCAATACATGTAGCTGATATCGGAAAACGTTTTTAATAAAATATAAGATTGCCTTAAATTTACAAAGACTGCTTCACTAATCCTATAATTAAAATTGAACTTGACAGATAAATGCCGATTGATATTTACAGAATTTTCATTGGCCAACGTGAGTTATATTCACATTTATATCACAATGAATTATACCAAAAATGAAAACTTATTTTGACTTTCACCAGTTCATTCTTTATAAAACCTTTGATTTGCAAAAAACTGACAACGTTCTCGAAATTTAACAATCAATTAAAAAAGAACTGTTTTTTGCAGAGGGATATTAGTGATGATCAGGCAATGACCCCTATTGGTATTTTGGTAGCCGTTACTGTCGGTGTTGATATAGAGGTCCCAATTTAAGTGGTCATATTCATAGACATACTAAACAGTGTAAAAGTCGTTGTCATGGTGGCTTATTGATGAATTTCTTGTCTTAGTAATAAACTCGAAGTAGTCATGTTTTTATCGTCTATTAGTCGTGGTACTTGTAAACGCCATCTAATATCTAGCTGCATTGATGATTGTAGATGTTTAGAACAATTGAAGTTGAGATAAATAACAGTCATAGATAAAGGCTTCAAATCGTAACGTCATGGCCGAAGTTGTTCCGTAGTAAACGATGAAATATATCGAGTTGTGTCGTGGTCGTTCTGCAAAGTCTTTAAAGAAGAATTCGTTTACAATACTTCATCGTCCAAGATTCATATTGTAGTCAAAGCCGAGGCTATTGTTGCCATATTTTTGAAATCGTTGCCACAAGTAAATTAGATAAAGTTTATCAATGGTCGAATTCGTCGTTATCTTTGGGGTTAAAGTAGCAAAATTGCAGCAGTCAAAGTAATAGTTCCATAGGCCTACGAACTCTTTCACGTACTCGTTGTGATAGAAGTTGTAGTAGTGATAGCGGCTGTCGTAGTCATAGCTCTTCTAAAAGTCATTAAAGTTGTCATAGCCGTGGTCGAATTTAACAGCTAAATTCTGATGGATATTTACAGAATTTTTCGGAAAAACAATTTCTGCAAAAACAGTTCATTTTTAGTTCTTTGTTAAATTTTGGGAACGTTGTCAGTTTTTGCAAATCAAAGGTTTTATAATTAATAAACTGGTGAACTTTTAGTCATAAAAGTCATAGTTGTGGTCTTTCTCATAGCAGGAGTCATAGTCGTGGCCGTAGCCTGGACGAAAATGTGATGACGATTACCATTGTGGTCATCTTCCAAAAATGAGCTAACGATACTTGCTTTATCACATAAAATGCATTCTTTAATGCTCGTATATTTTAACCAAATTTACATAAAAAATTGTTCTGTTTGCTCTTCTTGTATATATTTTACTGTTATTTATCTATTTATTGATGAATCATTTAATCTATTTCTTTTTGTTCAAAGATTAATTCTATTATTCATTTTGATAATGTTATTTAGTATGTTTTATAATTTTTGTAATTAACGGTATGAAGCTTTTTTATGTTTTATAAATGGTAAAAGTAACTTCAAATAAAATGAAATACAGCTTCTTGTATCAAAATATCATCAGACATTCACCATTTGTTTTTTTCTAAGAAAAATTTGATATACAAAGGGCTTTTGTTCAACATAGTTCCGCTCCGGTAGGTGAGCCTAGACTGACCGGCGACTGTACTAAGTGTCCCAATGCTTTTCTGTTTTTGGCACCTCTTTGGGACTGATAAAATAGCTCACGGTGATTGTGAAATGTCTCGAATAAAATTAGATCAGTGACTCGTGGAAAAAAATGCAAGTTAAATTTCATTTATGAGTTTGACATCGAGTGATAAACACTGGGTAACATTTTTTTATCTTTATTTTTTTTTGAGAGTGACCTTTAGTGAAATTACTCGGGCGTAAAAATATTTAGTATTTTCATATACAGGCATGCACGAGTTTATTGAGTAACAGAAAAATCGCGTTAAATTGAAATGCTGATGCACTGAACCTGTGTAGCTTAAGAGAAATAATCATTCATGCAGAACATTGTCGATATCCTCATTACGAACGGTCGTACATAGTAATGTTCATTGTAATGTAATTTCAAACGAAATGTTTTTGGACGTTCTATCGAGCGCTTATATTCGATTGAACATAAAATCACTCGTGCGTAAAATGCATTTCCCCCGTCTAGAGCCGATACCATGATCCTAAAATGACGCGAACAAGCTCTACATTGAGTATACAAGTCAGCTCTCTATGCTCTCGGAAGATCTAGAAATAAACAATGATGTCAACAGTTAAAATTCCAAGATGGCTGCCGCTCAGATTTTCAAATTTTCTGGCCGCGCACTAGCTAACTGTAAAATATGGCCGCCAAAAGTGACTCTTATTCAAAATGGCGCCACGCATGTGGGGTTTAGGAGCTGCATATACTTGAAACTGATATTATTTGATGTAGCTGTGTTGTGATGTTTAAATTTATATTAAAAAGTTATCTTAACCCGTATTGTGTGTCCATTAAACAGCATTTTCAATCAAACATATTAATAATTGTTTATAACTTATAAAAATGTTTTCATTCAGTGTTATGTAGTTTGAATATGATACCAAACTATTGTAAGCGTACGAGCTACGCAATATAAAACCATAATCAATAACTACAAGCATAGAGAGTTAAATTACCATATTTATTTTATAACAACTATTTAATGCATGTCGTGGTACAATAATGGTCGGTTTAGACTCTTATTCACTCATATAGAAAATTTATTTTTGCTTCCTTTTTGCTTATTTTATGAAAAAAAAACATTCAAGACGAAAATGGGGAGATGTCATATTATATATGTGCTTTCCCTTGGATTTGTAGCTGCTCTGAATACTGGTGAGTTGATTATATGTTAATAGGTTATGACAAAAACAAATTATAAACTTGTTCATGTGTTTGAGTTTCATATAAAATTATAAAAAAATAAAAATAAATAAAAAATATTACAGCGACCGGATCGGTATTCTCTAGCTTTAAAGTACATTGTTAAAGTACAAAATAGGTCTTTCATTTCTAATAAGAGAACAAAATAATACTTCAGTATTGAGTTAAGCTGCGTCGGAATAGACCATATACAGCCATGTTCGAATAAGAAATGTCATCAAACATTGAGGTTAAATATAAGATTTTCATCTTTAAACAAGCCAGCATTCAAAAATGACTTTAAGTAGCAAATAAACTACAATTTACCATTGTAAATTGCAAATATTGAAACACATTAGGAATAATTATTTTCACAGTTCATGTTCTTTTTAAATAGACATTTACTTGCTGCTATCAAAGTTAAGTGATGATAAAACCCCAACCTGACGCATAAATTATAGATTTGAATGTAAACACGATGAATGTAAACACGAAACATTATCTTTATTTATATAACATTAAACTTAAAGACTGAACATTACATCCTTTGCATGATAAAAAAAAACATCTGTCATATACTTATATATTATCGAAAAGAAAAAGTTCTTTACGAATTACAATCATGATATAGGAAATACGTTAACATTTATTAAAATATATTTGTTAATGACAATTATGTTTTCAGCGTACATGTATCATTTTTTAGTTTAATAATATTTTACTGCTTTTTGAATACAATATAAGAACATTATTTCCACAAAACAACATCTTTAACAAAATACAAAAGGGTTGAACAACAAGTTCTAGCAACATTAGTAACTGTCCTTCCCTTAAGCATTATAAGATATAGAAACGAAAACATGTTTAAACACTATACACATGAGCAATTAAAATATTAAGACGGATACAAAAAACAAAGTAGCAAATAGATTTCGACTTTTAATTTAAAAGAAAACAAACACATTTGCTAATCAATTTTTTAAATATTAAAATTAAAAGTAATTTTCCAGCACTTGCAGTATGTGATGGTTTGTATGGCTGTCCAAATATGTCCTTTATAAGGGGAATTAGAAGAATTAAAATTCGAACAACGATTGTTTCTTTTACATGTACTTATTTGTTATTATTTATATTTTATTTATCTATGTGTATTTATATATATATATTTATTTGAACCTCATGAAATAAAGAGTTTTCCTCGTCTGATAAATTTTCTTTTCCATAAAGGTACTTGTACTTAATGGATGAAAAGGTCGAATGGAAGTTAAAAGTTGGAGTCTTTGGACACCAAAAAGGTTACAATGAAAAAAGAAATGCTAAGCATCCTCCTCGATATGGCAAAACTCACAAACAGGGGAGTTTGCTAAGTGATTTCTATACAGCTCATCATTCAAATTACTACATCTTTTTTTAACGTGCATGGTAAACAGATGTTAATCTTTCTCCAATAAAATAATATTTAGTGACAAGTGTGGGTTTGAATTTATCCTTAAGTTTAGTTTTGAACACATTTAAAGAAGTCGAGCCACGTATATCATTATCAAGACTATTTCATGCCGAAATTGCTGAGGGTATAAATGATCTAGAAAATATTTCTGTTCGTCGTGCTATTATTACGTAATAACCGTTATTTCTTAGGTTATATTGGCTAATTTCTGATACAAAATTTGGGAACAAAGTGTCCAGATAACTTGGAAGCTCCCCATTTTTAGCTTTATACATTATTGATAATTTTTGCATTAAACGGCGATCTGCTAAAGAGACCCAACCTATTTCGTGCAAAAGTCTTTTTATAGACACAGAGCGAGTCAATCCAGTTACTGCGCGCGCAGCTCCGTATTGATTTTTTTCATTTATTTCTTTTTCATATAAGGTACAACTATCCCAAATAACACTAGCATATTCTAATAAGGGCCTCATGTAGGAAATATAAATTTGATTTAATGCTGTTCTATTTAATTTGAACTTTAATAAACGCATACGAGGGCTGTCCAAAAAATTCGTGCACTGCAGTTATTGTCGTGAGAGTTCTTGATATAAAAACATTAATTATACATCACTTGAAGGGGAGATCTGTCTCGAATGAGAAAACAAAAGAAAAAAACGTGTAACCGGCATGTCGTGAAAACGAATCGTCATACAGTTACCTTGGTAACGTAATACCGGCGCACGACAAAAAAGTGGGTTAGTTCATTACTTTGATGCATCACGGTATTCTTAAAACACAACATATATGCGTTAAAATTCAGGGAAAAGTATGTGTACGTATCCCAAACGTCACTATAAAATATTACGTCATTTGCCCTATTGTAATGTCGTAAACAAACATTTGTGTGAGGTCGTCAATATTGTAATTACGTAAAAATGTCAGTCGCTAAACGTCTGGAAATACGGACGATCATACATTTTGTGCAAATATTGGTAAAACACAAACAAATACCTACAAAGAACTTATAATGGCAAGCGGGGACAAGTTCAGTGTCACCAAGGCTGGTTTTTAAATGGCACAAACGCTCTGTAGAAGGGCGAGAGTCTGTAGACGATGACAACCGGTCAGTCAGACGTCCATCCATAATGCCGGACTATGTGACGAGGGTTGTCCAATATATTCGTTCACTGGTGGGATATGTTACATGTCTGTTGCATAAGAACAATAAAAACTACAACAAACTATGCATTAATCTTTCCTCTTTTGACAGTAAAACAAATTATAACATAAAAAGCAAATGCCACTTTACAAGCAACAAACAATTAATACAACTACAGTAATGAACAAACCCAATTTTTTGCCGTGCGCCGGTATTACGTTACTAAGGTAACTTAATGACCATTCTTTTACACGACACGCCAGTTACCCGGCTTTTTCTTTTGTTTTCTTATTTGAGACAGATTTCCCCTTCAAGTGATATATAATTCATTTGTTTTTATTAATAACTCTTACGACAATTACTGCAGTGCACGAATTTTTTGGACAACCCTCGTATAACCTAACATTTTGGACGCCGAGGTAGTTATATTATTAATATGTTCATGCCAAGTTCCATCATCACTAAAGGTTAACCCCAAATGCCTGTGGTGTTGAATGTAATTAAGTTGAACATTGTTAAAGTACAAAAAAGGTGTTTCATTTCTAATAAGAGAACAAAATAATACTTTTGTCTTATTAGGATTAAAGGTTACAAGCCATTGGTCTGCCCATTCAGTAATAATTTTAAGATCAATATTTAGAGTAATTTCTATATATTTAGAATCATCGCTTGTAACTGATAAGGAACTATCATCTGCAAAATGACGAGTCAAACTAAGTTAGTTTTCAGAAATGTCATTAACATAAATCAAAAAAAAAAGAAGAGGACCAAGCACAGATCCTTAAAGGACACCAGCATTTATGAATTTTGTGTCAGAAAAAGAAGAACCAACAAAAACGCTTTGGTTCCTTGACTCCAGATAGCTAGCAATCCAAGTATTCAAATTATTTGTAATGCCGCACTGATGCAGTTTAAACAGTAGACATTTATGCCAAACACGATCAAATGCTTAAGAGATATCACAGAACTCTATACATGTTGATTTCTTTTCATTAAAAGCTTTACATATTTGATGTTAAATGTCAATGAATTGATATACAGTAGAATGCCCTTGAATAAAACCCGGATTGATATTTGTAAATTAGATTGTTCATATGTAAATGGTTGTAAATATATTAAAAAATAATGTTTTCTATAACTTTTGCTATGCAACTTATTAAAGAAATTGGTCTGTAATTAGAACAAAGATCGTGCTACCTTTTCTAAATAATGGCATAACACTTGCGTTTTTCCAACATGTGGGAACGATTAAAAAGTGTACATAGAGGTTTACAATTGCTAGAAGATGTTTCTTTAAGCATACGGTGACTTATCCCATCTGGTCCACTAGCCTTTTTTATTACTAGTATTAAGCATGAAAGAATGTCTTTAAACTTCTTCTTCGTTAATGCTTATGTCACACAAAAATTCGTTTGTTTTAAGATTGAAAATGGGTAAAGAAGTATTAGAATCATCAATAGATGATACAGAGACAAAGTAATCATTGAGCGCATTTACCTTTTCTTTATCAGTAAATACATACAAGTCATTATTAAGTCTTAATGGCGGTATTATTTCACATTGTTTATTATCTTAAACTAACATTTTCACAATTGTCCACTATTCGCGAGGATTATTACTACTTATATCGTTGGTTGTTAATTCTAAATTATTAAAAAAACTTGTTTCGCGTGCTTTTTTAAATTATTAACCTTGTTTCTTAAACGTTTATATAAAATCTGACGATTTATTAGTTTTAATTGCACGTGGTTTTTGTCTGTCACGTTTACGGGAAGTTCGTTTTATTGAATCGTACCATGGTCTGTCGTATGGTCGTATTGTATCTTCTTTATATGGAATGCATCGTTTTGTCAAATCTAAAAATGAAGAAGTAAATAAATCGGAAGCCTCGTCTATAATGCCATTAAATAATAATGACCAATTATATGAAGTTATCAATTCATTTAAGCGTACAAAGTCCGCATTTTTATAATTCTAAACACAACGCTTATAAGTATTAAAAGGAAGCGCTTCAAAATGAATAAAAATATAACAAGCATAATGATCACTTATGTCTCTCGTAGTTTCTGAAACACCAAAGTCAAATGATTTTATTTCGCTAGAAATTACTATTGGGTCAATAAGTGTGTCAGATATATTTGATACACGAGTCGGCTGATTGATAACATTACTCATATTATTAATAATTAAGATATCAGGTAGTTTATGGTTTAAATGATTGAGTTGATCTTCGTTTACATCACCAAGTAAAACAATGTACTTTGACAACTCGTGCGCATTTTATAAACAGTTATCCAGTTTCGACCAAAACTCAACAGTAGTATTTGGGTGACGATAAACAGTGCCTATCAAAATGTTCTCCTCCTTATCTTTAACATTAATCCA